ACATACATTCTTTTCATGCATCCCTATTATTCATACATCTAACAGTTTAATGTTTGCGAAATTTAAAGTGCGGAAAATAAAGCTACGCTATTACAAGGCTTCGGGTATTTACATAGCCAAAAACAACTCGTAAAAACAAAAAGATAAAATGAAAAGGTGAAAAGTCCTAATTAATCTATTACAACTTGTGAGCAATTACATCAATATGGTAAAAAAATATAAAGCGCGCGCGATGAACTAAGAACGATAAAAGAAATAGGGTTTTGACCACGTCTAACCTAATCGAAAGAAACAATTATTTTTGTTGTTTTTAATTATTTTTAAGAGAAAGAAAAAGGTTTTTAAATTAAATACAAAATTAATTAGTAATTAAATTAATTAAAGAAAATGACCAAATTTAATCTATTTTTGTGTTTTTGGTTACTTTAAGAAAAATAAAATAGAATTACGTTAGAAACAAAAACCCTAATTGTCCTAATTGTTTTTAATTTATTTACAAAATAGCTTAAGTTACCTAAAATTAAATAACCTATTTAAATTAATTAATTTTTTTTATAAAAAATAAACCTAAATCTAATTGGATGAAAATATTATTTTTGTGATTTTTTTGATAGTAAAAATAAATAAATAAATTAAATAAAGACAAAATATAAAAAAGAAAAGAAAGAAGAATTGGGCCTGGAATCAGTAATTGGGGGGGGGGGGGGGGGCGTGAATAGCAAATCTGGGCCCAAAAGAAGGTGACCCACGCTTGACTTTCTGGACTCCATGCTATGCGTTGACTGAGGCGTATCATGGTCCCTCAAATGATGGCCATCAGATTTGGCCTTTTGACATCTGGCTGGCTGGACGATGGTGGTCCATGGTGGGCTTCAAATCTACATGCGCGCCTGATCACAAGAACGAAAATAATATGAAAGAAATAGGGGGACCTGGGATTCGAACCCAGGCCCCAAAGCATTTTCCATCACCTGGCTACCAACTGCGCTGCACGTTCATTTTATACATAGAATAATGACAATAGATAATATGCAATAAAGAGAGTTAGTGGAGAAAATAAAAAAAACGTGCCTGAATTTTGAATGGACGAACATGATGATGCCACGCTGGTCATCCCTGTCCTTGCTCCGTTGGTAAAAGTTAAAAACTTTTACCTACGGACAAGCATTTGTCGCTACATCCCTGTCTTATTTCAAAACCTTCTTTGGACATGATAAATGACTTCTAATGCCATGAATTGAACCGTCTTGGCATTCTGAGCATCATGATACCCTTCATGGGGGCTAATTTTGCCTGCACACAAAAACCCTAAAACCAGACCAAGAACCCTAACAATGGCAAGTCTTCATAGAGTAAAAAAATGCAATTGAATGTTATAGATAGCTTGCAAATGTGTTAAGGAACAAGAATATATGATTATTTCATGCTATAAGTGCCAGGATCATACAATTCGATTTCAAAAATAAACCAAAGACGTGGCTGACTTACAGTGCATTTTGGCACTGGAAACTCCTTGTTCTTGATTGGTACAGCCTCCTTACAATCCTAGGAATCGAATGAGATGGTTAGGGGACCCTGAAAGTTCCTGGAAGTACAAAATCGAATGACCACTTTTCTTTGTTTTTTTCAAGTTTGTTCTGACTTTGTGCGCCTCTCTAGCCTTGTGTTTTAGGTCTGCAATTGTATACTATATACCAAGGACTGAATTAAGTTTAAAATTATGCTCTCAATCTTCCTCCATTATAGCTTTTGATTTGGATTTGATTCACTTGAAAATATTTCTAAAAATAGGCTAAAACCAATCTTTTTATGCACACAGAGGCCTTGCATGAATTCAATCCCTTGCTAGCTGGATATAGAACCTAAAACATGCACAAGATCTTGAGATTTCAATGATTTGGATTTTTCATGATTTGTTTTGATTTAAATTGATTTAATTCAAATAAAAATAAAAATAATTAATAAAAATAAGATAAAGACAAGTGGGAAGAGTTAGGACTCGTGGACCATGCTACCAACTCAAATCAAGTGCAAAAGATTAGGCCCATTTAGCAAAAATTGCAATTTGAGGCACTTTTGACTTCTGGCAATTTTGCAAAAAATGTCAACTTCACAAATGCATAACTTCCTTATTGTTTACTCTTTGAAGGTGTTATTGGACTTTTTAGAAATATTGAGATGTCTTATAAGCAACCTTTTTGGTCTCATCTCAATTGAGTCTTCCATGTTCATGTATGAAGCTTTGACAAAAAAGGTGTTTTTGTTGACTTTTCAAAATGACCTATAATGTCAAAATTCATAACTTCTTGTGAGTGCATATTTTGAACTTTAGAGATGAGGATTAATTGTAGGGAATTTCATCCTCTTCAAAATGATCTTTGGATGGGTCATTTCTCATAAAGTATGAGAAAGTTATGCTTGGTCAAAGTTGAGTTTACTTTTCCTGCAAAACCCTAATTTAGCAACTTTTGGGTTTTGATGAATTGTGGGCAATCCTTGATGAATCATGATCAAAACTTGATCTAATGATGAATAATACTTCCAAATAATAATGTTGAAAAAAATCTTGAAGTTTGACTGTGTGTGGGCCACAGTTGACTTTTGCCCTAGCACAGTCGATTTTTAGGCCTTTGAGCAATTGACCGAGCAAACTTTCTCTGTAAGGCTTGAAACTTGACATGGATGACCTTGAGAATATATTAGGACAATGGTGAGAATTTGAGACCCTTTGGACTCAAGCATCTTGATGCAAACTGTGATACAGTGGGAGAACTGACTTGAGGTTTTGCGTTTGTGTTTGCAAATGTTTCGGTTTACAAGAGTCGCCACCGACTTTTTATTTTATCCAAAGGAAAGGTCAAAAAGCACAGGAAAGACCTTTGAGATGTTTTCTTGGGTTCGGGGGGTAGATTATGAAAAGGGAAGGTGCTATCACCCTTTTCATCCATGGTTTTCCATGGGCTCTTAGTTACTTGCTTAGATCACTTGCTTTGCTTTTCCAATTGTTTGAAATGGTGCTTTGTGTGGTTTTGAAAGTATTTTGAAAAGAGGCCATCGTTTTGGAAATCTTTGTAATGATTCTTGTTTGAAGTATGTATACAAAGATGTTTTGTCTTTTGAAAAATGTTTCAATGTTTGAAAGTTTGTTTGGAAATTATTTTGAAATTGTGTGCGTGTTTGTTTGAAAATAGCAAGGATGGTTTGCAAATTGATCAAGTAACTATGAGTTGTCTACCCTATTAAAAGATCTTTCCTACATTTTTAACCCTTTGACATTGTTGTTTTACCATTGTATTTGGTAAACAACCCTATCTTTGGATGTTAAACGGGACGGGTATGGGTCATCGTATGACCATGATAGCAATGGTGTCAAATATCTTAGCAAGCTTTAGGGACTAAGATCATTTGTTTTTAGGCAACATTTTGATAGCGTCATCGAGGGAATATGATCTTTTGTTTTGTTTTTTTGATTTTACCAAGATACCTAGCATGCATACCATGGCCATTTTAAGGCAACAAAGTGGATGAAACCCTAGGGGTGCTTGTGTTGTCATTTTTCATGAATTTTTTGTCTTGCATTAAGTCATGTTATTTGTTTTGATTTTTTGTCTTTTGCATACAAAACCCTAGTTTACTATCATGGTATATGAAAGCAATAAAATGCGTAAAATAAATCTAGACTATTACAACATTATTATGGGGAGGGATACAAGTTTGAATAAGGGGTATTTGCACAAAATAAAACCCTAATTTACTATTACAACCAAATTGAATTTATTGTACAATAAATACATAAACAAGTATTTAAATATGGAATAAATTATAAATATGCAAAAATGTTTTTTTGTAATTGTTTTATGTATGTAAAAATGAATTTATTTAATGTCTTTAAAAAATAAAAATAAAAATGATTATTTTTTAAAGGGTGGAAACCCTAATTTTGTTTAAAGAAATTATGCTTTATATTATTTATTTTTTATTCAAGAAAAATAATAATAATATGTACAAAAATGTTAAAAAATTAAATATTGTATGAAAATATTATTTTAAGTGTACAAATAATAAAAATAAAAATATATAATATTTTTATATTATTTACAAGTTTTATTTAGAAAAATAAGTTATATTATTATTAATAAACTATTTTTATGCCCAAAAAATAATAAAAATAATAAAAATAATAAAATAAAATGCAAAAAATTAAGAAAATATTTTTGAGACAGGATACTCCATCGTACTTAGCAAAAACTGGAGCTTTGAACTTGTGAGGGATCACCACCCCCGATGCTAGTCCCAAATCTCCGAAATCCAACCCAGGAACCTTCTGAGCAATGTTAGAGATCCAACATGAAGTATGAAAGTAACATGAGGCATTGGAAGTCCAAAAATCCCCGTGCAAACTTAAACCCTAATTTCAGGTCATTAGTGCAAGGAGATTCCTTGAGCTGAGCAAACCCTAATCTGGTCTTGAGTCCAAGAAGTCTTGTGAGGAAAATCTTGATAAAAATGAGAGGGAAAATTTTGGGGTACAACACAAACTGAAACCCTAATTTGAGGTAGACTTCCTTAAGAGAGAGTTTGTCTAGTCAACTCTTGAACTTCCTTGAGCAATTTGAGAACCTCACTTGAAATGTATTGAGAAATATGGGAGGGCAAATTTTGGGGTACAACAACATTATTAGTTCATAATTATATTTAAAGAAATAACAATAATTAAAAAAACGCAAAACGATGTCGTTCAGGTGAGGCCTAGGGTTCACGTATGCCTATTCACCCTTCACGAGAAAAATCAAGTCTCGCATCCCTTCTCCCGGATTCGACTCAGACGCGGCATCACTATCTCCATATACTCTTCTTCTCCGATCAACAAAATGTAGTGCCGCTGCAAACACCACCTCCTCGTGTCCGTCCCATCCTATCCTTCATGATCCTCCGTTTTCTCCATCAGATTCAATTTTCTCTGCCTCATTCCTCTCTTTAACTTGAGGGAAGAGACCCCAATGCTTTGCAGGACTCAAACAAACACAAAGGCAAACACAGGGAGGAAGTGTTCGAAGAGGATGAGATTTACCTATTGGAGCTCGATTCACCGCGTCTACGATGGTCATAACGGAAAATCAATGTCTCGGGTATGTATCTATAATTTCTCTATGCCACTGCGTCTTCTTTTTCTTCTTTTCTTCTGCATTACTTTTTCTTCTTGATTTTGTGATGCTGAAGCTCTGCGTGCGATTTTTGCAGTTTCGTTGAAGTGGAAAATTGCAGAACCTTGTATTGCAATGTGTGGAATGAAGATGATGCAAAGAACCTCATATTAATGGTGATGATTGCAGAAAAAGATGAAAGATGATTTTTGATGGTAGTTGAAGTCGTATTTGTTGTGATGCGATGAAGAAGATGCGTTGAAGATGATGATGTGAAATTTGTTGAAGTTTGCAGTGGAATGAAGGTGTATTGATGAAGATGTTGAGGATTTGGATTAAAGAAGTAGGAGTTACGGATGATAATTGAAGGTGATGATGAAACTCGGTTGCACAGGGAGAAAGAGCTTGAGTTTTTTTCTGGTTTTTTGGTGATGGAGAAAGAAGATAAAGAGAGGAAGAAGTTTTTGGTGAAGTTTTGGAGAATTTGCAGTAAAGAAGCAGAACTTCAGAGGTGGTTATGGTGATGATGCTGAATTGATGAATATGATAAAGGATCTGTTGAAGATTCAAGGTTAGTGGTTAATGAAGATGAAGTTGTAATGGTGGACGATGATGATGAAGATGAAGAAGAGAGAGAGAGAGAGAGAGAGAGAGAGAGAGAGAGAGAGCTTTGTGTGATTCTTCTGCAGATTGTGAAGAACGAAAAAGGTTGAAGATGATGAAGGATCTTGAGAAGTGAAGAGTGAAGAGAGAGTTCGTGATTTTGTGGTCTTTCTATGACTTTTCTGGTGAATCAATTCTCTCCCTCCAATTTGTTATATTCTGGTACATTTTGTTGGTTTTGTTGTGGGTTGATGAAAATAGTTAGAAGGTTAGTTGGTTAGCTGTTATGAAAATTCTGTTATTTCTTCTGTCATAGGTAGTTATAGGAGTTAGTTATTGATATGTTACATTTAGTTACAAGTGTGAGCTGTTAGTTGGAATTCGGTTAGAGTTCTATTATTTTTCCTATTTTTATCAATTGATGTTGAGCTGTTTTTTCGGTTATCTATTGGATGCAATTTTGTGAGCTGGCAGTCGGTTTCGAAACTGAGTTTTATTTTCCTGTTTTTATCTTCTGGCTATACAAATGCAGGACACGTTTCCTTTTCCATTTTTTTATTTTCCTCCTTCTGAATAAGGCAACAAGATTGGTTGTTAGTAGGCTTTTGATGGACTGGTTTGTATGGTATAAATATATGTATATATGTTGTCGATTAGTTTTGAACTGGTTTTTGTTGTGAACTGGTTTTTGGTTGAATATAGGTTTGGGCATGTCTGAAATAGGGCAGCAGCAATGTTAACATCAACATTGGTGCAAAATCTTGGGTTTGTTTAAATTTGATTCGGTGCAGCTAGGACATGGGACATCTTTGATCATCCGGAGCAAGCTTTGAAGGCAACATGGTCATGTGCCATTGAAAAAAATCATGGTGAAGTGAGATATTTGAAGATTAAACAAGAGTATTGATGAGGACTTATGCTTTGGTTTTAGAAAAATGAGAGTTTTGTTATAAAGTAGACTTCCATGTGATTTCATGTATTTGACTTGTTGCCTTGAAAATATTCTTTGAGAATTCCTTTGTAATTGCCTTTAAACTTTGAATATATCCTGAATATTACATGTAACCCACAATCTTGAATTTCAAATAACAAGTTCTTTCCCATTTATAAAATTTGAAACTTGAACTTGAATAATCTTTTACTCCATTATGAATTTAAACTCCAAGTATTTTTCTTTACTTATACACTTATTAGATGCATGATATACAATGCTTTTTCTTCAATGGTATCTTGAATGACCCACGATCTCTTCCTTAACCTCAAGTTCAAAATCTTCTTTTTGTACCTCAAATGTAAACCAAATTCTAAGCAAAGCGAATTAATGAATCACTTGTATTATGAGTACATGAAAATCAGGGAGAGTAAATTATCCACAAGTCTTGTATCCCAGGAAAACCAATTCACCAGATGAAATATAATGGACAAAACCCTTATTTTCCAAATGTAACATCTCTTGCATATATCTTGTTCTTCAAGCGACAAAGGAGTTGTCTTAAGAGAAGAATGAGCTTTTGACGATGGATAACCAAGCCTCTGGCATTCATCAGGTAATCCTTGCATAAGGCACAAAACCCAAATCCACTTGCTTTTGAGATATATTGATGGGGGGAAAGAGATCCACAATAACCCTGAACCAAAACCCTAATTACACAACTTCACCACTTGAACAAGAACTAGAAGAATCAACCTTTTTCACTATATATATCTCAGCCACTATGAAAGCCCTAGCTTGTACGGCCACCCAACATTTGAACCTCGGGCACTTTATTCAATGAAAATGCATGCTATATTAGTACAGATAACCTAATGAAACGATGTGAATGCAAAAGCCTAAGCCAAATAGCGGGACAATTAGGAGGGCAAATTTTGGGGTGCAACAGCTGCCCCTATTTAATCGTCTTAAACCTGAAGGTGAGATTGGCGCCAACCTTTACTTTCAAGGTGGAAGAAGATTAAATACTAAAAGAACCCGAAAATTTGCACTCAAAAGCCAGTCAAGTATTATTATATTTTTTGGCTTTCTGTATTTTTTATTTTTTGCTTTTTTGGGTTACACTGGTTATCCGGGTAAGTCTCTTGGATGTCAGGTCGAGGTTAGACACACAAGATGAAAAATCAGATACTCAAGAAAAAGATCCACTATAGCAAACTCTAACAAGGATATCTAACAAGAAAGAGACCTAATAAAGAGGACTCAATCGAAGATGTCGGGAAAAGATGGGATCTCATAGTGATTCCACCCAAAGATAACAGAGATGGATGAGACCTAACATAGCGGGCTCAAATGAAACTATCAGAAATGGAAGGGGGAAGAGATCTAACAAAGCGACCTCGGCCAGAAATACAGAAGAAGGAAGAAATTTAACACAACGATTCCAACCAAAGATAAAGAGGGAAGAAAATATAACACAACAGTTTCAACCAAAGGCATTAAAGAAGAAAGAGACCTAACACAGCGGTTTCAACCAAAGGCATCAAAGAAGGAAGAAATCTAACACAATGAATTCAACCAAACATTTAAAAGAACGTAGAGACCTAACACAACGGACTCGACCAAATACATCAAAGATGGAAAAGATCTAACAAAGTGATCTCGATCTTATATATCAAGGAAGGAAGAAATCTAACACACCAATTTCGACCAAAGATATCAAAGAAGGGAGAGACCTAACATAGCGGGCTCAACCAGAGATATCAAAGATTGAAGAGATCTAACAAAGTAATCTCGACCAGATATATCAAGGAAGGAAGAAATCTAACACATTGATTTTACCAAATATATCAAAGAAGGCAGAGACCTAACAAAGAGGACTCGACCAAAGACATCGAAGATGGCAGAGATTTAACAAAGTGATCTCGACCAGATATATCAAGGAAGGAAGAAGCGTAACACAGAAATTTCAACCAAATATATCAAAGAAGGAAGAGACCTAACACATCGATCTCGATTAGATATATCAAGGAAGGAAGAAATCTAACACATAGATTTCAACCAAAGATATCAAAAAAGGAAGATACCTAACACAGCAAACTCGACCGAACACATCAAAGATGGAAGAAATATAAAAAATTGATCTCAACCAGATATATCAAGGAAGGAAGAAATCTAACACAACGATTTCAACCAAAGATATCAAAGAAGGGAGAGACCTAACACAGCAGACTCAACTGAAAATATCGAAGATGGAAGAGATCTAACAAAATGATCTCGACCAGATATATCAGGGAAGGAAGAAATCTAACACAACTATTTCAACCAAAGATATCAAAGAAGGAAGAGACCTAACACAACGGACTCGACTAGAGATATCGAAGATGGAAGAGATCTAACAAAGTGATCTCGACCAGATATATCAAAGAAGGAATAAATCTAACACCGTGATTTCAACCAAAGATATCAAAGAAGGAAGAGACCTAATGATAAGTGCAAATTTTAGCTATTTTTGTATACACTTTTTGTTGCACTTATCGACTTTTTATTGCTAATATCGTTGAATAAACTCGACTTTTGTGTAAATACGTTTAGTTTGTGTTTATTTTTATTTTTATGTACATAGTGTATCGTTTGATGTTTTTCCATTAATTTTGTAGGTATTTGTTGTATTTTGGAGCATTGAGGAATAAGGTGTCAAAGGCACAACTCCGGATGCGTGTTTTCGGAATAAAAGACCAGTTTTGGGACATGTTGTCTAGGAGAGGCCGCTTAGCGCGCAAAGGCCTCTAAGCGCGAGTGGTGCTCAGCGCATTTTGTAGCGTGCTGATTGTATTTAACAATTTGGTATAACCAATGTTTTGAAGCCCTCTTAGCACAGATAGTGCGCTAAGTGCGGTTTAGGTCAGTTTGGTGTGTAAAATAAGCAAGTCGCGCTTAGCGTGCCAGGCCCGCTTAGTGCAATCTGCTGAGATTTGTTTTATAACTTTCATTTCAGCTCATATTTAGGGATGCTTTTAGGGAAGTTTCTGCTCCTAACTCCATCAACCTGTAAATTTTGTTAGGATTAGCTTAGATAACAGCTATGGAGCTTGCATACGGATGACTCGGGGTGGAATCAGGTTTCGAATTATGGTTATCATGAGTTTCTTATTCATCTGCGTATAAGGCCTTTTCTCATTAAAATTCATCAAGATCTTAGATTAGGGTTTATTTCCCTATGTATGACTAAAAATCAGGGTTTGCTCCTCAGTTACCATCTCCTAAGTTGTTCAGTCAGAAATTAGGGTTTCCATTGGTTTGAGATTCCTTCAATTAAAATAAAGGTAGACTCATTTGGTTCTTCTCTTAAATAGTAGACTTATGAATTAGGGTTTTGATACCGTGACTATCTTGAGCATCATTTCCTCGATATCTAAGGTTTTGTCTCTCCATCATCACAAGCATTCTCTTTACTTAGGATCATCAAACCATTTTCTTCATTCAGTGTGCAGCTCATGTGGATCAGGTTTTTGCGTCCTACATGTGTGGGTTGGTTGAAGTCCATCAATACATATGATAGGGTTTTCAATTGTATGTTCTCAAGGGTTCATAAATGGTTTCAATCAAGATCCTGATTTAGGGTTTATTTCCCTATTGTTAATCGTGAGATTAGGGTTTCATTTCGAAGAGCACTCAAGCGTCATTTATCTTTTCACGAGGATGTCCTTTTAAAGTTTTGTTTTGTAAAGAGGGGCCTCATCAAAGTAAAGGCTTGTAGTTTGAGTTACAAAGTTTGAGTCGTGATACATGTGATGACAATTGTAGATTTACGTTATGATCAAGGCATTATCACTATCTCTATTCTTTGATTCAAGTCACGCTAGTTGATTCAGATTTGAATTAAGAAGTAAAGCGGAATTCGTTCATTCGGATGATGTTTTAGGGAATGGATCAAGTTTATTTAATATGCAAAGACAGAGGATTCATTCATGCATATATTTTTTTGATATTCAAGTTTCCGGGTTAAAACACTCATTATGGAATTCATTCAAGGGATGATGTTGATCAAGGCATGGTCCCTATTCAAATCACAAGGAATATTTTCTCCATCCAAAAACTTCAAGATTCACTCATTTGCCATTCATCATCATTAAGACAAAATGGATAAACAAGATTCAAGATCTAACCAAAGGTCTAAGATTTATCAAATTTCCATAAAACAATTTCGTCATTCATAAATTCAAAGAGAGGTCATTCAAGTTTCATGTTCATTAAATTTTGAGCAATTTACAAGAAATTTACAAAGTTGAAATACAAGTTACAAGTTTCTTATTTACAAAGAAAAGAGGATTATTCTTCAATCTTCTTGCTCCATCTTCAAGCGTCTTGTTCTCATGCATTGCTATAACTTCTTCTTCAAGTATTCCTCTATGCTCTTGAAAGCTCCTCCATCAAAGTTACATGAAAAAATAAACATAAAGATAGTTAGTTCAAGTTCAATCATTGAGTCATGGACAAGAAAGATTCCAAGCAAGTATTTTGCAATTCTTTATTAGGGATTTTGTGAAGGAATCATAAACAAGGATTTGAATTCAATCATATGCCAAACAAAGGCCTCATTATCCTGCAAACAAGATTATATTTTATCATGGGCCCAAGAATATTCCTATTGAAAATCACAAAAACAAGTTTGGTTCACAATAAGAAGAGACGAGTTACCGCAAACACTTCAATGAAAAAAAACAACAAAGCATCACAGAAGTAGCACGTACTGAAATTACAATTGTTCAGACCAACAACAAAGTTCAGAACATGTCAAACAAATATTAGATTGCAAAAACCCGAATGAAGAGTTCACGCGAGGCAAACCCTAAACCTATTCATCATTTTCCTTAATGACACAAAAACCTTTCAGAATCATAAAGAAGAAAAAGATACCAACCACAAAATTTTCAGAGAAAACAAGAAAGTCCAAGATCAGAAAGATATCACCA